TAAGAACTGATGTTTTACTACTGACCGATGTATTTGAAAACTTTAGAGACTTGTGTATGGAATACTACGGTTTAGACCCCGCTCATTATTATACGTTGCCAAATTTCGCATGGGACGCGATGCTTCTAAAAACTGGCGTTGAAATAGAACAATTGCATGACCAAGAAATGTTTGAGATGGTTGAAAAGGGAATGAGAGGTGGTATGTGTCAAGTCAGTCATAAATTAGCAGTGGCAAATAATAAGTATATGGGGGAAGCATATGATGAGAACAAGCCATCAAATTATATTAGTTACTTGGATGCTAATAACTTGTATGGTTTGGCAATGTCCCAGAAGTTACCGCTAAAAAATATCAAGTGGGCAAAGAAAACGCCCAGTGTTGAAAAATGGAATGAAAACGATGAGTTTGGTTATATTATGGAAGTTGATTTGGAATATCCCGAAACATTGCACGACTTCCACTCCGACTATCCACTAGCGCCTGAAATAATGAATGTAAATGTGAATATGCTTTCCGATTATCAAAAGCAAGTCTTCAAAATATATTATGATGGAAAAACCCCGAAGGACGAGAAAACAAGTAAGTTAATATTAAATCTAAAGGATAAAGAAAAATATGTGGTTCATATCAAGACTCTACAGTATTAGTTGAAAATGGGAATGAAAATGGGTAAAGTCCATAGGATAATAAAATTTCAACAGAGGGCTTGGTTGAAACCGTGGATTGACTTCAACACTGGTAAAAGGAAAGAAGCCAAAAGCGATTTTGAGAAAGATTTATTCAAATTAATGAATAACGCGGTGTACGGAAAAACTATGGAAGACAAAAGAAACCATATGGACTTTGAACTGGTTGATAATGAGGTAAGATATGAAAAATGCGTGAATAACCCAACATTCAAAAACCGATTTATTATAAATGAAAATCTGGTGGGAGTTGAAAAAACTAAAGCGAAACTGAAATTGGATAAGCCGATTTTCCTGGGAATGAGCATTTTAGATTTAAGCAAATTACATATGTATCAGTTTTATTATGATGTATTGAAAAAGAAGTATAATGAAAACATCAAATTGATATATACTGATACTGACAGTTATGTAATTCAAACAATGACTGATGATGTCTATAAGGATTTCAATGATATAAAGCAACACATGGATTTTAGCGACTATCCTGTTGAGCATCCATGTCATGACAAAACTAATAAAAAGGTCTTAGGAATGTTTAAGGACGAAGTGAATGGAAAAATCCTTACTAAATTCATCGGATTGAAACCTAAATCTTACGCCTTCACAATTCATGGTGAGGTTGATGAACATAAGAAATCAAAAGGTGTAGTGAAACACAAAGTGAAAAAAGAACTGTCGTATCAGAACTATCACGAAGCATTATTTCAAAACAAAAAGCACGAAATCACATATAACTTCATCAGGAGTAAGTCGCATCAAATATATTCAATGTCTCAAGTCAGGCAATCTCTCAGTAATTATGAAAATAAAAGGTTTTATATTGATGCTTTCACTTCATTACCATATGGACATTACGCTATTACAAAGTAATAGCCTAATGAGCTTCGCGACATTACTCCATAAAATAATTATCTAAATAGTTCTAATAATATGAAATTATTAGAATTATTTTCAGCTCGTTTTCGGACAGAAGAATACCGTCTCTGTGAGTGGCACAGGACGTCTATACTGCCACTACCGCTGAACCGCTCAGCAGTTTCAAAGTGAAAGTTCATCCTCTGACAACCGCCTGAAACAAACGAGAAGGACATACCATTACAAATGGTCTTTGCGGATGGGAAATGAGTGTGTCGGAAATTATGCCGTTTCTTTTCATTTTTAGTGGGAACTTCTAGGTCTGGAAATTGGAAATGACAATGTTTAACTGTTCAACCCCTGCGGTTGATACAAATGGTTATGGCGGATGGGAAGCAATCACCTTTCCAAATGACTACTGCGGTTCAAAATGCCAACTCTCACGGTTTGCCCCTTAAACATATAGAGACCAATGACAGACAAAAAGCAATGTTCCAAATGTAAAGTCTTTCAATTGTTAGAAAAGTTCAACGAAGGAAGAAAACAATGTAATGTATGCTTGGAGAGCAAACAACGGTATAGAGAAGCACACAAAGAACAAATACAACAAAAGGCAAAGGAGTATTACGAAAACAACAAAGAACAAATAGCAGATAAGAATAAGACATATAGAGAGAATAACAAAGACACTTTAAAAGAACAGAAAAAGAACTATCGTGAAAACCATAAAGACGAATTAAAACAAAAAGCAAAAGAATATAGAGAAAAGAACAAAGAAGACATAAATGAAAAACAGAAAGACTATAACCAATTGAAAGTAGAATGTCCTTTATGTAAATGCTTTGTAGGAAAATACAGAATGAAAAAACACCAACAAACAAGTAAGCACCAACTAAGAGTGAAAGGTCAAGAAAACAATAACGTTACTGTGAGAGAATATATGGAAACAACAAGTGACTTTGAACAAGAATAGGAATAATCAAATGACCCACCCAACACCCCAGAACTTGATAACTACTAAAAGGGCTAACTCTTTCAAATGAAAAAAATGTCGGCCCCCAGCCCAACAATGAACAAGGCGACAATTTACCCAAATGATTACCTTAACGAAAACGATATATAAGCTCCCCAAAACACCCCTTTTCAAAACGAATAAGGGGGAACACAGATTTGAGATGAACATAAAAACCAGAACAGGCAACCATCAACAGGCCACCCCCCGGGCCCCCCCTTTTCTCCATTTTTTCCCCCCCCCCCCCAAACCTAGGAAGAAGAAGCTCGGGGACCTCCCGCCCCCTCCCGGAAGAAAAAAAGAAGAAGAAGAAAACATGGCCGCACCAGTACCAGTGCCGTGTTTTTGTCCCCCCAAATGGGCTCCCGCGCTTCATCTCGAAAGCTCTCTCTGCATCTGGGGTCCCGCAAGCCTGGGCCGCGCGCCACAATTTGCCATTCGCCACTTTTGGGCTCAGCAAACATCCTGCACCTCAAGGAAACTCGAAAACGTGCCCTTCTCTTCGTGAAGGCTTTTGGCTGCACCTCCTACACATGCCGTCCACCGCGCGAGTTTTGCCAGAATGACCCTGGAAGAAGCATTCGGGGGCTACTAAAGGATTTGCACCACCCTCCCCCCAGATTCATCAACCCCTCCCCACGTTTAGTGCGAAAGTCGTCACTTTTGGAGGGGAACACGTCCCCCCTCCCACAAAGGACCGGGTGTTTGTTCTATGAATTAATCCAGGGTCAACATTATTGGAACCTGAGGCAAGGTAACACATTTCCAGGCCCTGGCCGAGAGTTCACTTGGGGCTCCGAGTCGAGGACTGTAAGTGGACAGTAGCTTCCATAGCCATCTGGGTACTGTGGATGAAACCCATTTCGCACCGTTCAAAAACCCTGTGATGGTTCCCCTGCTGCCAACAAACAATGATTTCCACTCGGATCGAAATGGATTTCGTCCATCCACAGTAGTCATGGTGCTCCTAGGAATCCCTGCCATGGTTGTCTAAAGCTATTGTAGGGTACCAGAAAATAGAAAAAGAGAAAGAGAAAGAGAACAAGCAGAAAGGACCTCCCTGTCTCAACTCAAACCAAGCTGTTGGCATCTCGCTTTGGGCTCCTCACGACCTGGAACACCCAAAGACCAGAGACAAGAAGGCGTGGTGTTGTTTTTCGTGTCCCTTTAAACCAACCCTCAAAAATTGTACCCTCCAAAAAGCACGCCCCCACATGGGTGTGTCTGTTTCCCTTGCTTTGGTGGAAAGTCAACAGGAAAAAGACAACTGCTACAAGGGGACCATGAGACAATGGTTCGTCATTGTAGTCAATCAATGCATCTAGTTGCAAAAGCTCACTTACCTTTCCCATGGGTTTGCTCCCCACTTGGGAGGCAAAGCCGAAGAGTCGAGACTCGGAGCACAACCCATCGACACATCCGAAGCTCAAATCGCCCCAAGGCTCCGACACGGAATCGCCTTTCAAGGGCTCAAAGGCCTCAAGAAATTGCGGGAGGTTTGGAGACCGCAAGGCCTGGGCTTGATGCGAGCCAATTTGGGCAGGCACGTGTTGGTGTGTGTGCATTTTCCGGTCGGACTCTCTCAAAACGCGTTTTGGGCGAGCCAGCTGCTTGCATGTCACATGGTCAAACAGGGTTTGCCTATTTCTGAGAGGGTACCCTTTCTACAATCCATCTTGGGGTACCATGAAAAAGCCATTCGTGAACTGTCCATTGCTATGTGAAACGCGGTTGTGTTTCACCAGAGTTGCGCACAATTCGTGGACATAGTGACAACAGGACACTGCCCTTGCTCTCGTGTCCTTTGCGGGGAAATGTGGAGAGTCCCAAGTTGAAAGAGTCTGTCCTTTTGTCTGCCGATATTCTAGACCAGAAATCAATGTCCACAATGTGGGATCACCCTCTTTTCAGGGGCAGAACGCGTGCTGACAAGCATGGAGTTGGGGTGTGCTCACGTCACAGCTTGGGTTTTCCTGGCCCTGGAAGAAACACAAAGCGTTCGCAGTACAGGAATATGTTGCAACTTGTTCTTGCCCTGGCTTTCCAACTACTTCCCTTCAAGCCAACCTGAGGGTAACGGTAGCCTCAAAAAGCGACGAAGCCTCGCAGTCTCTAAGGCACCAGGCGAGGATAAGTAGTAGTGGTAGCGGATAGTAAGGAGGGGATACCGTGAATGGAGTCGGAGGATTGGGCTGAATACAGCTGTGCGGGTCCAGTTCACCATTCATGCACAAGACAAAGCAAGCCTTGCAAGATTGCTGGGACCTTGAAGCAAATCGGTTCAAAAGCAACCTCGTATTCAATTAAAGATTTACCGGACCCCAAAGCAGACATACGAATGAATGACTGCATCCAGCCTTTTCACCCTCATACCCTTGGCAGTCAAAACAAAAGGAGCGTGCAAGCCGCCGCCATCCAAACGGTTCACGCCGCCAGCTCTTTCCGCCCACGCTCTCGCGCTGTCTCACAAATCTCACCTAAGCCAGGCGACCCACATGAGAAGCACGGCGAGTGGTAGACATATAGCATAGCTTCTGGAGCTGATACGCAAGGCCACTCAATGGATAGACCCGGTGAAGAACATTCTAGCGAAAGACTCACCGCCCATGTGGCCAATCCAGTGCAAAACCTCGGGGCATTGACAATCTGCTGTTCTTTGAGGCGCGTGTGGTCAGTCAGCCATTGGCCCACACACACACACACACACACACACACACACACACTCCCCGCTCAGCGACCCCACTGCCTTTTTAGAGACCCCAATCGTTAAGCTTTCTTCAGCACGGTTCGGCCTTCCTTGGCCCGGAAGCGCTTAGGCTTTGAGGGGAGGGCTGTTAGATCCGTCTAGGGCTCCGCACTTCTTCTTGCCACCCCCGTCCATGGAGGCGAAGGCGCGGTGCCGGCCGGTGGTCTTGGTGTGCTGTCCGCGGACCCGGATGCCCCAGTAGTGGCGCAAACCACGGTGGAGCCGCACGCGCTTCATGCGCTCGATGTCCTGAAATTCTGAAACGACGCTAAGGCAAATCCACCAGCAGAACAAAACCTTGGGGACCTTGTTCCCTTGCTTCATCCGGAGGGATTTGGTTTGGACAAGGCATCTGAGGTGCGGAAGAAAAGCAACCCATCCCAATTCACAATGTGTCGTGCTTTAAATTGACGAAAGGCACGAAGTCAGGTGTTTAAAGGGATGAAAACCTAGCCACTGATGTTCACACTCAGAGGGCAAAGAACCTATTGCCTCGGCAGGAAACGAATAAAGGCAAAGTCTCTGTCAGCACTTGTTGAAAGAGCCAAAGAACAAACATGACACGCAAGCCCAGCGTCCTCTCGGAGAGCCTGATCCAGAAAGTTGGCATACTTCTGTGCCGTCTTTCCCTCCTTGTTATCGCGCTGCCTGTTCAGCATCCATGCCGGGATCTTGAACTCCAAAGGCTTGCTGACCACTGCCACAATCTTGTTCACCTCATCCGTCGTGAGCTCGCCTGCGCGCTTGTTCAGGTCAATGTCGCACTTCTTGCACACCTTGGTTCCATTTGGCTTGCCAACAACTCGCACTTCTATAAGCCTTCATGAACCAACATACACAAATCTCTGTGACCTCGAGGACACACCAAAGCAAAACATCTATACGCCAAGCTCTTGCACAGGCGCAATGTTTGAGATTCTTCGGCCAATGCCACGGATGGCGGTCAGCGCAAACATCACCTTCTGTCGCCCATCCACGTTGGTGTTGCACATACCTCAGCCACTTGCGCCCTGTCCGCCATGCCCACAAATTTGCGATTTGGCAATGCGGCTGAGACTTCTTTCTCTTCCAAAAGCTTGTCTCTCCCAAAAAACGATTCTGCAAAATAAGAATGTGCCCTGTCGAAAGAGACATACATCACTCTTGCTGCCGCCTTCAGTTTGGGTGGGCCACCAGCCCTTTCGATTCGATTTCGCGCAGAGCCCAGGCGCGCAGGATGTGCTGGAAGTTCTGCGACTGGAATTGCACCTAAGTGTGGCTTTGTAAAGATTTGGACCCCCAAAATGGCTTCGGCTTTCTTTTTGGTGTTCGCTAATCTTAAAAAGGGGTACTCTCGAAAAAGACGCGCCCACCTGAGTTCAAGAGGCAGTGTGAAAAGCTTTGAGGAAGCGTCGCATCCGCTCTCAGCCCGGCACCGACATGGCGGCTTCGGCTTGACTTTGCGTGGGGGGGTGCTATCCTGAGCCAAAAAGCCCAAAAATGTTGTGCGCAGCGTCATCCATCCGCTTTCGCATGTTTTTTTGGCCGGGGCCGTCCCCTTCGTGACACAAGGAGCGCCCGAAACTCTGGCAAAGCAATGGCTCTGTCCAACTCCAAGCAAGAATATCCAGAAGAGCACTAAAATAGTAAGAGTTGGGCAGGCAGCAACACAGCATGCCACATAAGTCAAGAAATGACAGCGATACAAAGCTCGGCACGATTCAACAAAACCATACGATCTTACGATTTGCTAGTGCAAACCAACACACGTCACAGACAGCAGGAAGCCTATCTTCAGATCGAGTCTAACATGTGTGGTTCTGCAGTAAGAAGACTCTGGCCTCCTACTAGCTGCGGTTCACAATCAATTTTGCCCTAACTTACATTGGACACTGATTTTGAACAGTGTGCATGTCATCCCTTTGCAACAGATCAGGCCATACAAACACTTTCGTGACCAGCTTGGAAACTGACGGCCGGCTGCTCCAATCCGAGCACATCAAGGGATCCCAAATGATGGCGCCTCATGGAACGCCTTGTCTGAGCCCCAATCAACTGATGAATCTGGGATAGGCGTTGGTGTCTTTTTTCGCAAACGGTGACAGAAGACGTAGACCTGGATTGCCATGTTTCGATTGAAATCCCAAGACCCCGAACTCTGCTTCTTTGAGCGCTTTTCCACGGAAGGCCAGCCGAAGTCTCCGTCCAGGACACCAAACGGCCAAAGACGGCTCACTTCTTCTTACCGCCCCCGTCCATGGAGGCGAAGGCGCGGTGCCGGCCGGTGGTCTTGGTGTGCTGTCCGCGGACCCGGATGCCCCAGTAGTGGCGCAAACCACGGTGGAGCCGCACGCGCTTCATGCGCTCGATGTCCTGACAAAACAACCTGGAATGACTCAGCAGGGTACTCTTGGGAATCCGCGCAAAGCTCAACCGCTTGCCCATCCGCCGAGGGTTGCAAGTTGGTGGCAGTCAGCCCAAGTAAAATGCATGGGACCCTGCCAACCCAAAACTGCTGAGCCCAGCGTCCTCTCGGAGAGCCTGATCCAGAAAGTTGGCATACTTCTGTGCCGTCTTTCCCTCCTTGTTATCGCGCTGCCTGTTCAGCATCCATGCCGGGATCTTGAACTCCAAAGGCTTGCTGACCACCGCCACAATCTTGTTCACCTCATCCGTCGTGAGCTCGCCTGCGCGCTTGTTCAGGTCAATGTCGCACTTCTTGCACACCTTGGTTCCATTTGGCTTGCCAACAACTCGCACTTCTATAAGCCTTCATGAACCAACATACACAAATCTCTGTGACCTCGAGGACACACCAAAGCAAAACATCTATACGCCAAGCTCTTGCACAGGCGCAATGTTTGAGATTCTTCGGCCAATGCCACGGATGGCGGTCAGCGCAAACATCACCTTCTGTCGCCCATCCACGTTGGTGTTGCACATACCTCGGCTTAAAGATCCCCTGCTTTAGCAAGCTTCCCGCTCATATCATTCTGCCATTCTGTGCTTTAGAGGGGAACAGAAGCGTTCGCATCGGCATCCAGGTGCACAATCTCAAGCAGCGCTAGTTGCAACGCAGCTGCGCAGAATGTGCTGGAAATTCTGAGATTGAAATTGCACGGACATCGTGACTATTGCCTTCTACCACCTACAGTTTCCGTAGCCAATCACTCGAGCCAAGAAATAGCGGCAAACCCTCTTTTTGGATACTTTGCTGTGCGTCCAAACCCGTGAAGTGTGTTTTGTTTGCATTTGTATAATATATTGCGCTAACCTTTGGAGGTGGTTTGGGGGTAGTGGAAGCTATCCTACGTCTGCTTGTGGCCTGTGTTTCCCTGGAATTTTTCGACCTTGGCTCTGCGCAAAACGAGTTTCAACACACACACACACACACACACACACATACACACACACACACACACACAACTATATAAGGAGCATACTCCGTCTTTCATTGCTTGCAACTCTCGCCGTCAAGACACCCTCCGTTGCCGCCGAAAATCGGTTCAAAGCCGAAGTCACAATCAAGACAGATTGAATGGACCCAAATCCATGCTTTCGGAGAACCGCAAGCAAAAAAGACGCCATTCTGGGGCGCCTATTTCTGGCTGCCCCGGGCATGCCCACAGCTTCACGGCTCGGATCCCAGGCTTCACCGCTCGTCCCTCCCTGACGCAAAGACTCAGACGCGCAAAGAGAGCCTGAATTCAAACGTCACAAGTCGTGTGGAACCAAACCATCGGGTTCAGTCGCTTGCGGCGAATGCCTACATCCCATATCGAAATGTCACCCTACAGCAATAACACACACACACAACTTGAAGAGCCAAAAGACTTCAGACGCTGTGTTTTATGCCAGGTCTGAGGCAGGGCTGATGCACAAGCGCGTCAGAAAGCCGCCAGCGAGCCGCCAGCAAGCCGGACTGTCTCAGATACGCCAACCAAACTCAGTTGATGCCCAATGCTGACATCCTTAAGATCCAGCAGGCATGAAAATGCCGGCAAAAGCGTAAAAGCAGCACCTCAATGTCACCAGCTCCACCCACAACCTTCAGCCTTCTTCTCTACACACATGGGCTAGTGTAAACATACGGGAATGCCCAAAATGGGTGGTTTCCTGACCTACATGGCTTGGACTTTGTGACCAGGAAGTTCCGTGCGATTATCAAACTGTTGAGCTCTGCAACGCAGGGCTGCCAATTGGAACAAAAACGAAAAGGACTAAACTTTGTCATGGCTCGTATCTGAAGACTGCCCTAAGACTTTGAGACTTTGAGGTGCCTAAGCTCAAGGAGCCCGATGAATTGCTAAGGAAAACCGCCAGCGCCGTTGGGGACCATTGCCCAACGCGGCTAGAGCTCGCAAAATCCTCAGAAGGCTGAAGCTTGCTCCGCCGATCTGGCGGCTGCACAGGCGGCGCCCGAGGCCAACCTATGGAAAGCAAACGGAAAAATGAAGCAACTCTGGCATGCCTGGATCGCCAGTTGCTGTTTTGTTTGCTTTTTTGTTCCATGCACTTTACCCCAAAAACCAGCAACAGTGACTGAAACAAGCAGCAACTTGGCTATCTAGGTGTGTAAAGAAGAGCTACCTCTAGCCGAAGGCCTGGCTGTTGATACACATGACCTTTCGCCTTTTTTGCAGCTGCGTTGGCAATGTGGATGGACGAAATCATGGGAAACCATTGTTTGTCAGGGGAACCATCATTCCAGGGTTTTTCAGGTGGCGCAGGATGTTGTCCATCCACAGAATGGATCAGGCGTGGGCAATTGAGCGTACGACATTGTAATAACATCAACAAAATGAAGGTCCCGCAGCATTGCAGCCAACTGTAATGTTCCATGGGTAGATTCTGACACCGCACCACAACAATAAAATATCTGGCTGACACTCAGGACCCCAAGTAGACCCTGGTTCTCTCAGATCCTCATCCAACTGAAGTTGTCTCTACTGGGTCACTCGCACGTCTCGTCAAAGCCTCCCAAAAACGTTGCTGCCAAGAGGCGTCGGCCGCTGGGCCGACTACCGCTTCACATGCGAAACGAAGGTGAGCCCCAGTGCTCCAAGAAAACCAAACAGGATCAGCAATCCACCTCGGCCGCCGCCATTCGGGAAACTCTGCCAGCCTGCTTCAGAACTAAACGGCCAGGCGAACCCAACATGCGCCGGCGTTTTAAAATAAACTCTCGCCTTCCAAATCGACAAGGCGCTCAGCACACCAGCGCAGAAACCCATATCCGACATGAGCCCCTCATTGAGATTGTAGAACTCCAAGACTGTGACCTGAGCAACGCCCGGCCAAGAAAACATCAAGCCGCGAAGCCCTCCGGCAACCATGGAAAGGATTCACCGCAGCGCGAAGAACAAAGAGGCACATCTTGTAAGCGGCAATTGATGGTCTGAATGACTCCGAACAACAATGGATGTACTCACTCAAATCCGACTTGTGCAATTTCAAGATGCTCTCAGTCTCATATGGTCGGGGTTGTTCGCTGATTACTTGCAGACCCGGCCACAACCCCACCGTCGTTGTAGAAGACGGCTTCCTGTCCAGTGGCTTGATCCTGAAACTGGTTCAGCATGAGCATGCCCCAGGAGTAGCGCATGAAGGAGGTCCAGGAATACCTGAATCGGCGAATTGTATTGGTCCGAACGTATGAACCCATGGGAATCCATTTTTGACATCCCTTGAGGGGCTGATTTCCCATAAAGCCATAGCTAAGGGCTAATGAATCCATAAACTAGGGGTCCATACAGTCAGCCTTTGACTGAACGCAGCGCGCTTTCGCTGTTCGATGTCGCAATTCTGTCAAGGCGAGCCACCAGTACCAGCCGACTGGGATCTTCTCAAACACGATGAACAAACCACCTGAGTAGTGGCATCCACTGTGGGTGCAGCTGTCCTTTGCTGATGGGTACAGCCTACTCCAGCTGCCTTGTGGTTGAAAGGAAGCAGTTTGCCAATGACATCTGAAGAGGAGGCCTCCAACAAAAACAAGTGCGCAGCTAGCATGAACTCCATATTGCATGCACATATGCAAATGTAATGCGCATCAACAACAATAATGCAGCCAGCATAAACTCCATGATTCATGTGCACGTAAACAACTTGTATACACTAGTGATGTGCAAATGCGGTACACGGCAACCAAATGGACAGGGAATTGGCATACCTAACATGTGCGTGTATACATATATATATATATATATATATGTCTGGTCCGGTCCTCCGCCCTCCTAACCCCCCCCCCCCCTGCTCGACCAAGTGGGCCCCTACCCTCTGCGCGCTTGCCCTCAAAACTCGAGCTTGTTTAATTGTCACTTCGCTGGCGCAATCCTGCAGACTTCCAGGCCGTCCACCTCACAAACTCGTCCTGATTAAATTGCGCCCTTCAGCTTGCGCCGTCAAGCGTCGAACCCTCTGACTTTCGCGGGGTCCACCTAAAACTGTCAAAAGCTTCAACCCTTTGGATTGTTTTGCATTGTTCAGCTTGCGCGACTGTCAACAGGCGAGGCCTCGCGGCGGGCTTACCTCCAACAACTCGGGCTTTTCGCCTTACCCCCTACCGGGGGGTGTCGCTCCGAGGGCGCTCCAACCACAGCCACACGCGGAACCACATCATCCATCTCTTTCTTCCGTCTTTCATCCATATCTTCTTTTCCTTTCATTTTGGTTTGGAAAGGGTGATAAGGATAGAAGGAAGAGAATTGGATGGGAAGGAGATGATTGGCTTTTCTGATTCCTGTTGCCAAACATTTCCCAACCAATAATCAATTGTCTTTGTATTAAAGAATTTCCGAACGAAGAGAGTCCATATCTTCCTTCATCTATCTTCACCTTTTGATTTAGTATTCAATCTGAGGTTTGATGAAGATGGAAAGAGATGAAGGAAAAGGAAAGGATAGCACCAGCTCATTCTCTTCTTCATATCTGGGGCTGGGACACCCGAGGAGAGCTAGCTTTGAATTAGTGTCGGCGAAAGCTCCTTAAACTTCCTTTAATGACAAGCCAACCAACTAAGACCAAACCAAACGCAAAGAAGATACGCACACAAAAACGAATAGAAGAAATGCATGTGTATGTATGTGTATATATATATATGTATATATATATATACACCCAGGGGCGCTGACAAACGCACCTGCATCTGCCCATGCTATGTGTACGATGCATGTGTATAAATATATACATATGTTGCACACACGCGCGCGCGAACACACACACACACAAACAAACAAACAAACAAACAAACAAACAAACAAACAAACAAACAAACAAACAAACAAGCAAACAAGCAAACAAACAAACACGCAAGTGTTGCACAAACATAGAAGCCTATAACCCATGTGTTGGGAAAAAGAACTGAAATCGTTCAATTATGGGCGCACATGAAGGTGCTCAGCAGACATCTCCCGCAAAGTTGTGTCCCACTTTGCCCGGAAGTGAGCCCAAGCCCTCAAGAGGTGGCTTGTCCAAAATATGGCCCCTCTAAAACCGCCCTTTGGCAGAGCCCAGGCTTGGACAAGCCACCAAAGTACAGGCATGTGGTCACATAGGTGGGAAGCATTGCATTGGCTGCATCCATGTTAGGTGCCACAGCAGCCACTGCGTAGGCCAGCACAATGCCGACCATGGAGGTCAGGAAGTAGCCTCATGTTCAGAACGAGACTCGTGGTGGAGGGAAACCTGTTGGTGGTTTCAAGAAGAGTGACTGAGATCGTCGAATCATGACCCTCGATTTGCATCTCTCCCGTACCACTTTTATTCTTGGGGAGTCTTAAGAGCCACCTTTCGCGGGAAAGCCCGCCAGGAAGCTGACAGCGAAGATGATGAAGCTACCCTGCAGTTCCATAGCCCAGAAGACCGCCAGGCTGAAGACCAAGCCTGAGCTCTCCAAGCCACGCAGATCTAAGTTAATTGAGCCGCTTTTCTTTCATAACAAAAGCATGTCTTTTGCCGGTCAAGAAGCTGGTAAAGATGCAAAGGACAGCTTCCTCAATGAACTTGGCAACGTAGTAGGTGACTGCTGTGTACCTTGCGATGACCGAACTTGACAAAAAGCAGGAACACAAGGAGGCCAATAGTACTCATCATAACAGTAAAGGAACCATAAAAACGAGAATAAACTACCACCACCACCACCACCACCACCACCACCACCACCACCACCACCACCACCACCACCACCACCACCACCACCACCACCACCACCACAACACCCCCAAAAAAATTACACTCGGGGTAAATAAAGAGAAGCATGTGCTTGAGGTACAAGCCATCCGCCCGCTCGCGATAGAAAAGGGCCCTTTCCAGAGTCAAAGAGGGAACATAGGCCGCAGCGCCATAGCCACAAAGAGCGCAGAAGAAGAAGAGCACAGCGGCAGTACCTAGAGCTCAAAAACCGACGACTGGCTTTCGCCGAAGCCCAACTACAATGCCAGTTGGAGTCTTGGACAGCGGGAAATGATGCTCAGCCAGGTCTGCGTGTGCGTTCAATACACTCGGACGCTTGAAGCCAGAGTTGCTCTGAATGCTTTGCGCGTCCTTCTTGCTACCAATGCCCCAGTAGAGCGAAAGGGACAGCAAGGACATGAAGATCTTGTCTCCAAAGCGAGGCCCTGTCAATTGGAGTGACTGGCAGAAGCTTCAATGGATCAACTTCTCTGGAACATCAACTCAGCCACCCCTTGCTTGGTCAAGAACCCTTCCTTTTGACACCAGATGTGAACATATTCCCCTAACATCCAAACACCCAAACCACACCAATTCGGGGTCAGGTGAATCTCTCTGGCTTGCTGGTTCTCAGCAGGGAATGAGGAAATGACCCCAATAGCAATCCCTTGTGGCTTCCCTTCAGGGAATCCCTCGATTCATTCCCAAAACCCGGACTCGTTGTCATTCCCTAGCTATCGCGCCAGCAAGCTTATTTTCCTGACATCCCCATATCCGAGCCATGCATTTGTGCAATACTCGACTCGAGGCCATCCACAGTGCGCCGAGCTCCTGCCTAAGAACTCGCCGTCGCGGTAGTGTGTGCCTCAGTTGCCGTTCAGGCGCCATGTGCAGCAAGACACGAGACACACACCAGCATCCACAAACATGCACACGCGTTTTTGCTGTGTATGTATATATATATATATATATATATACAACGCGTGGCTTAAGGGAATACAAGAGTTCACAGACCAGCCTGCAAGTGCAAGGCTGATTTGCCACATCACATACTGTGTATGACATTGCGCCACATAGAAACCTTCCGGCGAGTCTCTGGTACGGTAAGACAGCAAGGTCCGCAGAGCCTTGAGTTGCCCTGGACCCGATGTGGGCAACTCCTGGTCGAGCAGCTCATGGTCGAGCTTAAACACATGCGCGAACGGCCATGGGACTTAGCCAAAAAAGAAATGCTTTGTTTGAGTCAGTGAGAACCTCTTGTCACCTGAGTCATAATTACCCTGAATCCAAAAAATGCGGCGGAGGCACCCATTTATGGGGATTGTGCCTTTCTAACCTTCAGCTACCCGAATCGGTTTGGATTGTGGCTCGCCTGTCACCTGGCGCTCAACCCTCAGGACACACCCAATGCCTTGAGTGGCGCTGGGTCGGCTTTGAGCTTTGCCAAGGTCTCTTCGAACTCCTGAGCCGATGACTAAAATCCAGGCCCCAAAGACGCCCGTGCCGATACCCAATCTTTTGTCAAGCGAGATCGCACACGCAACTTCATGGAATGTCCATCCATGTTTCTTGGGAGGAACTTCCAAGGATGAAAAAAGTCTGTTCGGCGGGAGTCCTTGCTGTAGGCCTCGCTGTGCTTGCTTTTGGCCCAATGTGCAGCAAAGTCGGCTGTAGCCGGAGCACCATCCTCAATCTCTGTCGCATCCGTTGTGGCACCCGTGGCACCACTGGTGGTGTCTACCAGCCAATCTGGCAAAGAATAGCCTTGCTCCTGGCGCAAATGGTCAAAGTGGGCAAGCTCTGCAACCATTTACTCCCCTACAAATTAACATCAACGCTACAAATGTGGTTTCTGGGTTCCATGCCAATCTGAAGGGCATTGACAGCACATGCTTGCGTCGCGCACGCGTCACGTTTCACAGCTCCTCGGGGAATGGAAACCCGCAGGTCACAAAGTAATTCTTCACATCTGCTACAGGGCCGGCGTAGACCATGGCGCCGCCTGCCTGTACAAAAAGAACTCCACTCGTGATACATCAAGGAAGTAATTAGCTCATTGCTGCGTGCTCAAATGAAAAACCAAAAGGCTCTGACTGGAGCGCCAAGCCTTGCCAAACCTCAATCTCCAGGATTTAGGTGCCAAAAGAGACAACCTTCCCAAAAGAGACAACTGACACGGCCGAAAAAGCCTCGAGGCTCGGGAGTCGGGAGCTTGAAGGTGCGAAGTTCGGCGAACCAATGGGCGAAGTTCGGAGCCGCGGGGCCAGTCCCCAACAGCTGCGGCTGTCCGTTTGGCTCCCAAAAGGACACACCGACACGGAAATTGAACTATGCGGAGCGCGGCTCAAGCTGAACCTGGAATAAAGCGGCATTGATCCATGCAGATTCTATACTTCTTTGCAGGTGTCGTCAGGCAAAGAGTCATGAAGATGCAAAGGCTCGAGTCTCAAATTGAAAGCTCAAAGGCCTGCAACATCATGAGGTCGTCGAACAAGGAAAATGCGAAGCTGGTGGGCGAGTGCACAGTGGCAATGATGGTGTAGCCATCCTTCACCAGCTCTTTCCTGCGGAAAAAAAAGAACCTGCAAAGCGGGCTAATCCTAGTTTTTGCATATGTAAATGAAGTTCCAGCATTGATTTCAGGCATCCGACGCAAAAATATTGGTCAATATTCAGCCCAGTGACAAGATCGCGCACACCTCGTTGGCCATTTTGGAGTCCAGGCCAGAAGTGGGCTCATCCAGGTAAACCACCAGGGGCTGAGAAATGAGCGCCAGAGCTACGTTGACGCGCTTGGCCTCTGACTCTCTCCGAAACTGTGCTCTCGCACGGAAAGCTATCAGGGCCATGTTTTGCTAAGGCAACCAGGCCATGCGAAAAGTGATCCTGGTGACAGCCCGATGACGACTAAAAAACAGAAAGATGCGAGAGGAACAAGTGGCTTGCCCACCAGAGATTCCACGGCTGAGAACGCTGCCGATCACCTCAGATTGATTGCGATAAATTTGGCAACAGTGGCTGAACATGGCTCAGTTCTGCCACTTGGCTCAGTTCTTTAGAGGTCTGCCTCATGAACAAGAATCCCTCGCTCCAAGTTTGTTCCTCTTCGCAGATCTGTCCTATGAATGAGAATCTCTTTGCTCCACGAACTCCTCGTTTTGAGTACATCGATCGCAGAGCAGACCCACTCGGCGACCCGGGTGTGGCCAAAATTAAGAGCTGGGTGGGGTTCCATTTTAGGTACCCATTTTTGAACTGTAGCCACCTATCAAAAACGAGACAGACGCCACAGGACCAAGTTGCTGTGTTCTGACACTTGTTCAGGCGCAGCTGCTGGATCACCTGATCAAGTGAAGCCACGTTTTGAAGCCTGAGACACACAAATTGCGGTGTCTGTTTTCAAAGGGTACCCCTTTGTTTGGTAGCTTATTAAAAAAGAACAAGAACAGGAAAAAGAAAAGACAGGAGGAGGAAAACCACCATTAGACGCACCCACTTGTCGCAGTTGCGACAGCCAGTGCTGGCAAGACACATTATCAACTCGTTTGCGTTTCTCGGCATATGGCACGGATCGAGGCAGTTTCATCTCGGCAGTGTACATGAGCATCCTCAGATGTCGGCCCAGGCTGCAACATCCATCAACTATTCCATCTTGCTTTTGCACGAAGGGGAGCCCAAAAATAGTTTGCCTTGCCGGCAAATGCGAACTTGTGTGTGTGTGTGTGTCTGGTAAGAAACACGCACATGCTCCTCGCTCGGCCTTATTGCTTTATGTGATCATGGCTCCATGTGATGTTTCCTGTCCTCAGATCCCCTGACAAAAGTTTCACTTTTGGCAGGGTACCTGAAAACTGCCACTGAATCCAAAAGATCTAAATGTCCAAGTTGAACCGCCTCCCACAAACCGAGTCTAAGTCGGAACCCGATGGCTGGGAACAAACCAGCTGGCTCTCTCGTCTCACCTTTGCGTCGACCGAGCGTCTGGTCCACGGTGAGTTCCCCAATCAGGGTGTCGAACTGCTCCACGTAGCCCGTCAAGTGCTTCCTCGTGAGCCCCGAGTCCGGGTGGGACGTAGGCCATAAAATTCAGGAAAATAAAGGAAACCATCAAATCGGATAATGGGATGGATGGATTCTCTCGGGGTCATTCAAGTTTCTCATTCCCAGAACCTTGCGAACCGGGGGTGTTGGAGGCACGACATTGCAAGCTACAAGGAGAGCCAAAGCGTTCCCACCACTGAATTCTGAGGAGAACTCAAACCGGGAAGGGCGAGACCATGCAAAAGCCAGAATTCAAAAGAAGTCAAAGGGTAGAAAGACTTTGATACCAACCGCCCACACTGAAACTTTTCCTAGCGCACACAATCACCATAACACCCAAGCACTTGAAGCAAGTTTCAGCACAGCTGGCGGCGCGGAACAGCCTCCATAGAGCCTTAGTGCTGCAAATGGCACCAACGGCAAACACCCAACCGCTGCCTTCCAAATCAGTGTGTATTTTGCGGGGGAACCTTTTTCGGGCCATCATTTCGGCGTCCCACGATTTTCTGACATGTTCAGGTGCCAGCATTTGAGTGTACAAATTCTCATTTTGGGAAGTCCAACCTTCAACAAAACAGAGCCCCAAATCGATCAAGCCACACTTCGCCCTGGATCTTTCCTGCGCCACTCTTGCGTCCGGCGAGGATGTCCATCAAGGTGGTCTTGCCGGAGCCACTGGGCCCCATCAGGGCAGTGAGGCGCCCTGGATGGAACACGCCATTCAGGTCCTTGATGATATCCAACTTCTCCTCAAAAAGAAAAGTAAAACGCTAGCAGATAGCGTGCAAGTTTGCTGCTACGCTTGAACAAGTATAAATTAAGTATCCCGTTGCTGTAGCTAAAGGTTGCCCGTTCAAATCAGCCTGGGCTGACCCAAGAAAACGGACAAATGGTCAAAGCTAAGCGCCGGAAGATGTCATGAACAGTCATGCAAAGAATGCTTGCAGTTCCTACCAGCTCCAAACAACTTAAACCAACCATGGTAAATCGCTCCGCACCCAATTCCCAGCTGCGTGACTGCGTGTCCTTCTTCTTCACAGGAACGGTGTAGGTCAACTTGTTGAAACTCACTGCCACACCCTTTCCGCCTTGTCCGCCTGTTTTTCCCGTCATCGTCCCGTTCCAGCAGACTACGTCAGGCCGGATTCAGTTGGCCCCGTAATCCAGGCCTTGAGAAAGCTAAACGCCTACGGTCAACTGACCTGAAGATATCGGCGACGAAGACCACCACCATGACCACCACCAAAACCACAGCAACGAGGACAACGACCACAACACGACAACCACCAAAACCGCCACAGTCACCAACAACCAACAACCAACAACCAACAACAGCACGAAGAAGAAGAACAATATTTATGACCTCCTCTGGCCCGCGCAGGCCACAAATCCAGTTTGCAAAAACTCACCAAAAAAACTCAATCCGAAAATAACCATATGGTTAAAACTCAATCGCTCCAGTATTTTCTCAGTATTGGCCGAGTAGCTCTTAAATTCGCTGTGAGGTTTTTGAGTTTGTCTTGACTTTTTCAATGTTTATTGCAGTTGCTTAGGGGAAAACTTCAAGTCTCCTCCCCAACCAACCCTCTCAGAAAACCTGATAGAAGCCACGAACCCGAATGCGGACACGAAAGCGGACTCTTGTCACATCTCGCGTCGCGACTATAGAAACGTCTCTGGTCACTTTTCTACTCACGGCTTTGGTCACGTCATTCGTCACGTCTCTCGTAGCAACTCTGGCCACGTCTCTCGTCATCACTTTCATCAAACTTTTCATGATGCGTCTCACCGTGCCTCTCATCACGACTCTGTCACGTCTCCCATCACGTCTTTCTTGGCGACTCCCGTCATGTCTCTTGTCTTGTGAGTCGTCACCCCTCGAGTCGCGTCTCTGGTCTTTTATCACGTGTCTCGCCGCGCCTGTCGTCACGACTCCGTCGCGTTTCCCGCCGCGTCTTTCTTGGCGACTCTCGTCACGTCTCTTGTCACGCATGAGTCGTCGGCCCTCGCGTCACGTCTCTTGTCACATCTTTCGTCACGTCTCTGGCCCAATGTCGTCACGTCTCTCCTCACACGTCTGTTATCACATTTATCGCCACGTAGAGTATCTGGCTATTCCTCTTTTTTGTGTGTAGTCACGTCTCTGCCGGCGTCTCAAGTCACGTCTCTGGTCATGCCCCTTGTCAAGTTTCTCGTAACAGCGTCTCTTGTCACGTCTCTCTTTTTTCCTTGGTCACGTCTCTTATAGTCACGTCTTTGGTCACGTCCTTTGTCGCGTCTCACGTCACAACGTTTCTTCTCACGTCTATCGTCACGTAGCTAGTCACGCTTTTGGTCACGTTCCTTGACAGGTCTCTTGCAACAACTCTGGCCACATCTCTCGTCATGACCTTCGTTACATCTTTCATCATCACATCTTTCATCACGCGACTCGACGCGCCTCTTGTCCCGACTATGTAGCATCTCCCGTCACGTCCTTGTTGGAGACGTCTCCTGTCACGTGCGTCGTCGCCCCTCGCGTCACGTCTGGTCACGTCTCTGGTCACGACCCTCGCCACGTCTCTTCTCACACGTCTCTTGTCACATTTGCCGCCCCGTCTTTGCTAATTTCTCGCTACGCATCTCTCGTCACATCTCTCGTCGCGACTCTCCTCGCACGTCTCCATCATCATCCTGGACGACCTAGCGGACATGCCGCAGCTCCACAAGGCCAACGGCGCCCTGGACACGCTCTTCATCAGAGGTAGGCATATGCAAATCAGCACCTGGGTGAGCTCCCAGAAGCTGAGGCTCATCAGCGCGGCCGTGCGGGTCAATCAGCAATTCCTCTGCTGCTGGAGGCTGCGCAACCAGCACGAGCTGGACGCCGTCATCGAAGAGCTGAGCGCCCTGCTGCCGAAGGACAAGCTGCACAGGATCTACGAGCAGGCGACCAGGGACCCCTACAGCTTCCTCTTCGTGTACTACCTCAAGCCAAAGAATGAGATGTTCTACTTGCGCTTCGAAGAGCGTTTCGCATTGGAAAGAGAAGCCGATGGGAGCGGCGCTCAGCTTCCTGGGCCAGAAGCTGTTCGCGAGTTCCACACTGATAGTACGGTGCGAGAACGTTTCCTGCTGCACCTCCGTCGCAGCAGTCCAGTCCCCCATCATCCGTCGAACTGGTGGCCTCCTAAAGAAAAGGATGACCACTATCTACGTGGACAGCCGCAAGAGGGTAGCCGGCTCGGACAGCGACTTCGAGGTAGACCTGGGAGAGTCCCTGCACCTGCAGAGCGACGCCCGGCTGGCCGTCTACAAGATCCGCCTGGCCGACAGCTTTTTGTCGACTGATCGCGGCCGCTACTTGTACTGGGTAGACGCCGCGCTTGGGACTCTGAACTGGGCGTTGCTGCCCGAGGGCGCCTACACGGGCTCCCGGCTGGCCGCCTGGATCAGCTCCAACTTCGCTACTGCCGCCTACAGCGAGACCACGAACAGCCTGAGCGTAGCCTATGACGGCAACCGGCTCATTCTGAACGATCTGGAGCTGCAGCAGCAGTTCCCAGACGCAGTGGACTACCCCACCTTGCCGGCCGCCTCTCCGAGCAAGCCCTTCAGCATCGACCACATGCTCGGCCCCAGCTTCGTCTCCGGCGGGCAGCAGGTCTTCGAGAATTGCTACAACGAGGTCTACCTGCGCTGCCCCCAACTGGCCAACGCCAGCCGCGTGCTGGGCAATCTGGGGGACGACATCCTGACGCTGAAGAGCGGCGTGGGCACCATCGTGGAGACCGGCTCCGATGACGGGCACTTCATGGCTGTTAGGGGCCCCATCACCCTGAGACACCTGCACTTCCGGCTGACAGACCTCGAAGGCCAAGTCGTCCGACTGCGGGGCTCGTCGTTGTCCTTCGTGCTGTTTTTGGATCACGTCTAATCCCCCGAAGGTCTTTTAAAAAAATATTTTCTATTAAAAAAAAAAGCGATGAAGCAAGCGCAACCGGCGCCAAGGCCTAGAGGCAGACCTCCGGGTAGTAAGAACAGGCAAAAAGATAATCCCTGACCTGCCCACGGAGCCAGCGCACGAGATAGACTCCCCCTTCCGGCCCAAGAGGGTGAGATTTCCCACAAAGCCCAACAGCGCCCAAGGCAGCACCCAAGGCAGCACCCGTGGCCAAGGCAGCACCCAAGGCAGCACCCAAGGCTGCGCCCAAGGCAGCGCCCGTGCCCAAGGCAGCACCCAAGGCAGCGCCCAAGGCAGCACCCAAGGCTGCGCCCAAGGCAGTTGCCGCGCCAGCTCCCAAGCCCAAGGCAGCGCCCAAGCCCAAGGCGCCCAAGACAGAGCCACAGCTAGAGCCCGAGGTACAGCCCGAGGTACAGCCCGAGCCCGAGGTACGGCCGAGGTACACAGGGAGGTACGGCCCGAGCCCGAACAAGCGCCTCGGCCGAGCGAGCGCGCCATGCGCATGCTGGAGAGGCAGTCGGCTTACGACCGGCTGACGGCGGGCGCAAGCGTCCTAGTGTAAAAAGCATGATGTCCCCTGAACCCGGTGGTTTCGCAAGACCTACCCGAGTTACGACCTGCAGCTGCTGCTGCTGAAGCGCCAGCGAGAGCTTGAGGAGGCGCGGGCCTTCAACGCCTGGCTTGGGGAGCGCCGGCTGGCCCAAGAGGGGCAGCAGCACCTGGACGACGTAAGCCGGCTGACGGAGGCCGTGCACCGCCAGGTACCCCAGCTGCGCTACGCGCGGGCCGAGCGCCGGGGCGTCGAACGCGCAGCGGGCGAAGTTGCCGCGCAGTAACGGATAAAAGAGATGAAGACGCTTCGGTCCCACGGCTTCAATCAGCGCCCGCGCTTCGAGCAGGTTGTGGGCCTGGAGCGGAATGAGCCGCTGCCCCTGGACCAGCCGGACCGCAAGGCCACCACGTTCATCACGAGCCACTTCTACTTGGACGACTTCGTGCAGTCCAGCGAGGACCCCAACCCGCAGCCTCTGCAGCATACTCCTTTGAGGGCGATTCCAGAGGAAGGCTTCCGCACTCCCGCTGAGGCCACGGACGAGGACTTGGCCCGGATGCGCCAAGGCGGAGGAAACCGCTTCGGCGAGGACGACCTCGCAGGAGACCCAGAGGCCGACGCGCTGACAAACAACGGACAGGGCCCGCCCTCCATTACGGGCCGTCTGCGCAGCGCGGCCGAGGGAGCGCAGGCAGCAGCGGACCTTGTGGGCGCAGGAGCAGCAGGGCTCGCGGCGGCGCAGGCCTTCCGCTCCCAGCTCCCCCAGGACGCTGCTGAGTACGTCCGCCTAAATGTATTGCCCCGCCCAGGGCCGCAGCCGCAGCCACCACCGCAGATCATCGGTCGACCCGACGACGTAGAGCGCCTCCTGGACGAGGCGGGGCAGCGCGCGCAGGAGGTGGAGCGCGGCGCAGCGCAGGCCATAGAGGAGACGGCAGCAGTGGCTGCGGAGGAGGGAGAGGTCGCCGTCGCCGCCGAGGGTGTGGGCGGGCTGGGGGGCCTGGCCGAAGGAGCAGCAGCCCTCGCACCCACAGCGGGAGAGGTTGCTGGAGCGATGGCTGCCACGGCGGGAGTCGGCGCAGCGGCGACGGCTGGGTTGGCAGTGGGACTTGCAGGCGGCGCAGCCTACGGTCTCGCGCACGGCACGGGCTGGGTGCTGGAGAACACGCTCTTTCGGCCTCAGCAGGGCAGCGAGGACGCGGCCGTGCAGGACGTCCGGTCCACGCAGCCCCTGCACTTCACGCTGCGCTCCGGCAGCAGCACTTCAGGCAGCCCCGCAAGCAGCCGCGCCTCCTCGCAGTCTGGATTCCGTGTTCAGGCGCAGGCCAATCACACGCCGCGCCCCTTCTCCTGGGGCCTGAACCCAGCGACTCTGCCTCAGTCCCAGCCGAACTCCCGGGCAAGCTCCCGCAGCTCAGGACAGTCACGCCAGAGCCGCCTGCCTCCGCCGAGCTATGACCAGCTGGCCCGAGACATCGAGGCGGCCTGGGCTCTCCTTCGCCGTACGAGCGAAAATGAGTGTTGCGCTACACGCGAAGAAGCATGGAGGCAGTCACGGCCGGAGCACAGGATGAGTTGATGCAGAGCCTGGACTACAAGCTGAAAACCAGCAACACCAACTACGTGACCGCACGGCGCGACGTGCAGCAACACCCAGCTCGCTGAGCTCCTTCTCCTCTCTCTTTAGAGGGGT